ATCTGCTCAGGTCCCTTCCGGCCCTACAAACTATGAAACTATGTTTTGTGACTAGAAGTTCAAAATTCAGTCAGACTTACAATTCAAGAAACTGCAGGTAAGTGCAGTCAATAACTGTGCCTTCAGTTACAACTTTTTCACCATAATATTCCTGATAGATGGCTATTAGGTCTTTGACAGGTATATACCTAAAAGCAAGACAGAGGTATTATAATGAGAATTTCCCATTTAATTTAGTAAACAATCAATTTTGTATAAATAGAAACTTACATAATAGTGCTTTACATTATCAAAGTGCATAGGAATAGTAGGAGTAAAAATAATGAAGTTCAGTGTAGCAGGGTTTTAATTTGCTGTCTGTATATGTGGCAAGGGGACACAATCCACCTTCTCAACCCCAGAACCAGCCCACAAGGTTGCAGTGTAATTCTTTCACAGCCATTGCTGGTAGAATGTCACACCTCCTTCACAGGTTTCTTGACCAGTAGAGTTGTACAGTCTTAAATTGTGCCCTCCACTCTAACTTTGTGCTCAGTCTATTCCTTGCCTTCTGGGATCAGCTTATTCAGAACTCATACAGGCATTATCCTCTACCATCTGCACAGCCCTATGACATGGCTTAAATGGTGAGCTGAAACTTCAGCCTGCTTAAAGAGAATTAGACTCAAAAAATCAGGGAGCATTTTTACATGCATATCATAAGTGACAAGAAAGCCATCCAAAAAAATCTAAAACAGCATCAAAATAATCAGTTTTAAAGCTGATGTATTACTTATGATTCACAATGCAGTGTTCATTTTTTTTAAGGGAGCTTCCTTTTGCTATTATTTTCAGAGCTTGATTTCATAGATTTCATAGACATTAGGGCTGGAAGGGACCTCAGAAGATCATCGAATCCAGCCCCCTGCCCCAGGGGCAGGAAGTCAGCTGGGGTCACAGGATCCCAGCAAGATAAACATCCAGATGTCTTATGAAGGCATTCAGAGTAGGTGCTTGAACCACCTCCAGAGGCAATCTATTCCAGACCTTGGGGGCTCGGACAGTAAAGAAGTTCTTTACTGAAACGGTCTTGGAGGAGTTTGTGACGGTTCAACCTTGTCATCCCTGGGAGTGCTCTGGTGAACAGACGTTCCCCCAGATCCTGGTAAGCACCCCTGATTAACTTATATGTGGCCACCAGATCACTCCTGAGCCTGCGCTTTTCCAGCCTGAAGAGTCCCATGGCTCCCAGCCTCTCTTCATAAGGTCTGCTTTCCTGATCTCTGATCATGCACGTGGCTCTCCTCTGAACCCTCTCAAGCTTTTCCACATCCTTTTTGAATTGTGGAGCCCAAAACTGGACTCAGTACTCCAGCTGCAGCCTCACCAAAGCCGAGTACAATAGGAGGATGATGTTCTGGGATTTACTTGAGAAGCATCTGTGGATGCAAGGAAGTGTTTTGCTTGCTTTACTAGCCACAGTATCACATTGCAGGCTCATGTTCAT